GTTCAAGATTCAGAAAATTCCATAAGTGTGTTTTTGAGTTTATGCTGAGAGCTTTTGAAAAGCGGCAAGTGGGGCTGGGTGAGGAGGGAGGAGGGAGAGGGAGCCCCCCTAGGCGGAGGTGGTGCAAGTGACTGACAGGAAGATGGGGTGCTGCAGTTTCGGGGGAGGGGGCGTCCAGACAAGAGAGGCGCAGACTCAGCTGCCTGGGGTTCCCGAATGAGGGCAGGAACTGCTGGCAAAGAACCTTCCCCCAGACCCTGGCTCGAAGCAGTAGCGTGGGGTTCCCTCTGGAGTGGGGACTGGGTGGGGCTCAGGGGTTCTTTCTGGAGGAGCCTCTGGGGGGCGCTGTGGGGTATCCAGGGTCCCTCTGAGGACAAGGGCGCTGCAGGGGCTGGGGGGGGCGGTGCCTGCACATGGCTGACTCTGGGACATGGAGCTGGCCTTGACCCTGCACACAGTCGAGGTTCCAGTTCTCCTTTCCTTGCTCATGTGAGGGTTCTGGACCCTGATGCCACCCTCTGCCCTGGCACTGGGCCTGGACCCTGCATGGCAGAGGCCAGGGCTTAGACTCACCCCCCCCCCCCCAACCTCGCACCTGCATGCGAGACCTCTGAGCCCAGACCCCACACTGGCCGCTGACCCACCTTCCATGCACACTTGTGGCTGGGCTGCGCTCCCATCCGGCTGCAGGGCTTCGTCCTGCAAAGCTGAAACCACCCTTCGTGGCACCTTTGTGCCTTGGACCCTCTTCCCCTGCCCTGGAAAGGGATGCCTGGCTCTGTGGCCTGTCCCTGGAAAGGGTCTGATGGCCAGGAGTTTCCCTGGGCCTGATGGTCAGGAATGTCCCTGATGGCCAGGAGCACCCTGGGAAGGGTCTGATGATGGCCAGGAGTGTGTGTTGCCCACACCAGGCCGTGCTTGTCCTCTCAGGCATCTGTCAGATGCCCTCTGGGGGCATCTGTCCACGTGTGTCACATTACAGTCCCTTGAAGGCTCAGTAGCGTCTGTGCTCCAGTGCCCCACACTCTGTGTGACCGCTTGCTGGTGGACACTCAGTTGCTTCCTACTCTGGGAGAATGTAGATGCCGCCTTGGAGATGGGGTCAGGCGGAAGCTCTTTGAGCTAAGAGGATTGAGGGCAGACATGAGCGAACGGCCCAGTGACACCCGCTGTGTGTCATGGAGATGCTGGGGTGGGGGCAGCAGGGCCACTGGGAAGTGGTCACGAGGCCAGGCAAAGGGTCAGGTGCCTTCCTGCCACAGTCCTGTGGGCCCGAGCAGCTGGGCTTTGTGCCTTGAGAGGAGAGAGTGGTTTGGGTCCTTCGCCCGGGCTCCTAACACTGACTCTTCAACCTGACCAGCTGCAAGAGTGTGTGTAAGTCCAGTGAGCATGTGTGGGAAGGCTGGGGTGGAGGGTCAAAGGCCTGTACATGGCTTTCAGGAGGTCCGGGATCAGTCCCCAGCTCGGGGTGGGTCCCCAAGCACCTCCAGAAGCACCCCTAAGCACTGTGCTGGGAGTAACCCCAAGCACAATGCCTGATGCTCAGCCGTGTGGGACTGCTCCCTCAGACACACCTTCCAGGAGTGACGTGCATGGGTGACAGTCAGGGAGCAGAGGAGCGGGGGTTGGCAGTTCCCCACAGGAGCAGAGGGGAACCGTTTCTGCCGATTGGTTTCTTTGTCACAGAAGCCCAAATGCTTTTGGCAGTATGTAAATGAATGAAGGTGAAGCAGTTTCAATAAAACTTTATTGACAAAACTGTGATATTATGATAAAGCTATTGACAAAACAGTGTGCCCTAGCTCGGCTACCAGTGGTGTAGACCAGAGTCCCCAAACTTATTTGGCTTAGTTACTCTGGAACTAAGAGCGCCCTGGAAAAATCTACCTTATTTAAGGGAATGAATAGAAGGAACATCCCTACTTACACCCAAAATTACTAGCCCTCCCGCCCCCAGATATTCCAGTACTTCCAGGGAATGGTCTCGCCCTCTTTAGGAAACAGCCTTGGGGATGAGTCATAGAATTGAGTCACCGGGAGGCAGAGCCGCACAGGACTGGAAAGCCCTTAGAAGGGTGAGGAAGCTTTCATGGGAAAGCGAGTCCCGTGGGCTGTGCTGCTGGTCACTACCACCGTCTCCCAGCAAGCCATGTTCTCCCTCAAACACAGATCTCCCTGGCTTGTCTCTGTGTCTCTGCTGGCTTCTTTCTACACTGGAGAAGCCCGTGTTCTCTCTCCAACACACACTGCCCTTTCTCTACCCTCACATCTTTCTTAAATAACTCCCTTGCTTCACAAAAAACAAACAAACTAAAAAGATCATTAACATTATTGTCCCCAGCTCACCCTCATTGTCTTCACTGAAACTTGTTCAACATTTTTTGTTTGCTTGTTGGGCGACACCCAGAAATGCTCAGGGTTTGCTCCAGGGGGTTCTTTGGGGACCATATGGGATGCTGCAAATTCAACCCGGGTCAGCCACGTGTGATGCAAGTGCCTTATGTAATGAGATTATTTTAACCAAAGCATTTGATTCAGCTATATCTGGAATCTCTTTTTAGTCCAACCTGCTTTTGCATGAAGGGATGGAGGGGGGAGAGAGAGAGAGAGAGAGAGAGAGAGAGAGAGAGAGAGAGAGAGAGAGAGAGAGAGAGAGATTTTGTTCTAAAAAGACCCAAAAGTTCATAAAGATTGTTTCTGAACTCAGGAGTGATTTCCTGAAATCCAGGACCCCATTTCCCAGTTAGAACTTTGCCTTAGGCCTTGGACCCTGGGAGCTGAGGTAACAGGCTTCGCTGGGCACTTCCTCTGGTGAAGGACGGACTGAGGGCCGCGCTGCACTCTGTAGTGTGCTTCTCTCATGCAGTCGCCCTGCTGAGGCAATTCTGCTGGGTCAAACTCCAAAACTCTCCCTTCTGACGGGCTGGCTGCCCGGGTGTGGGCACTGTGCCAGAGAAGCAGCTCCTGCCCTGCTCACCCCCGGTTGCCCATGAGCGGGACATTCCCTAGTCCCATCCAAGATGCTTCCCGCCTCGGTCTTATCCCTGACTCCCTGTGGGTCCTCCCCTGCCGGCCCCGGGGAAAGCTAAAGGCCCTCGGCTTCCCCTAAGCCGCTCCCGCTCCTCCTCACCCTTTGGGTCTAGGCCTGGCCCTGAGCTCCCTGCATCTCGTTCACGTCCTTCTGTTGGCCCCGGTCGTGGGCCGAGGCTGCTCCCTGCAGCCCAGGCCCTGTGGGGTCACCGTGTCTGTCCCGGAGCTGCCTGTCTCAATGGCAGCATGCCATGTTCTCCTTCAAGAGCCGGCCGAGGGCTGGAAAGAGACTGGAAAGTAGATCAGGGTTGGACTCACCATGCGCTCAGGGCTCACTGATGAAGGGCGCTGACCAGAGATCAGTCCTGAGAGCTGCAGGCTCATATCCTGGGATGCCGGCCTGGACAGTCTGTCCTTCCCTGCCTGTCTGTCAGCTTCACACATGTCTGAGACTGTAAGGAGATTAGGCCTTTGTCACCCTGGAATGTTGGTGACAAATGCCCTTACTGGAAGACCTTGGGGCAATGCCTGGTAGTGCTCATGAGCTCCTCCATGTCTGTGTGGGGAACCAGGTAATGCCTGGGATGGAACCAGGGTCAGGGACATCCACCCCACAATCCCCGTTGCTCTGGATAAGAAGGCTAATGGCGCAGGGATTTCCTCTGCACTGGGACGTGGAGGGGATAAAGTCTCAGTGCGATTTTCTGGTGAGGGGTCTCTTCATGGGGGCCACATCCACCTTCTTGCTCACATGACCTTTTCTTGGGGTAAACAAGCTTGGGTGGGAGCAGGTCTGAATCCCTACATAGAATCCCATCCTCATGACTCATCTAACCCTGAGCGTTTCCCAGAGGCCCCCTCCAAATGCCAACGTGTGTGTGTATGTGTGTGTGTGTGTGTGTGTGTGTGTGTGTGTGTGTGTGTGTTGGGGGCGAGCGTTGGCACCACATCCCCTCTGTCCATAGCCAGGAGCGAAAGGAGTAACCCCAGGCACTGGTTTTCTCACTCGCGTCCCCAGATGCCCTCAGCTTCTGCTCCCAGTTGTCATTGGCTGGAGAAACACTGGCCAGTGCTGGCCAGTGGCTCCACGGGCACCCTGGGGACTCTCCACTCTTGGGTTTCCATCTCCCCATCCTTTCTGCAGCTCAGCATTGATCCTGACTTTACAAACAGGTGATGGTGGTCCACATGGACTAGTTCCGGAGCGGACGCTGGCGTTTACTGGCAAGCAGGGTTTCTTTCGGCGTGTTCCGATGTTGTAGTTGGCCCAGTGCTCCGTGCAGCAGGAGCTGTTTGTAGCAATGACTGCTGCTTCTAAAGTACTAAGGCTTATTACGTGATCTTGGCCACATAGAGGCCTGATGAACTTTACCCATATTCCCTTGCTAACGTTGGAAGTTTTACTCTGGATCACGGGCTGCCTATTCAACTAGGAAGGGTCTGAAAATGGGGGAGAACAAATGAGAACAAATGAAGGGGAGAAAAGAGCCACAGGTCAAAGGGTCTGAAACCAGAGGTGGATTCTGTCTCTTGGGGGAAAAAAGAGTGCCTCTACACACACACACACACACACACACACACACACACACACACACACACATCCCAAAACTCCCCTCCATGAACATGTCCTTCATACACATATACACACACCCTAGAACTCCTCCTTCTATATATACACACACACACACACACACACACACACACACACACAAGAAATCCCTCTCCCCAAACATGTCCTCCATATACACACCCCCGAACTCCACACACACACATGCATACACGCACACACACGCATACACGCACACACGCACACACACCCCAAACTCCTCCTACACGTGCATGCGCGCGCGCGCACACACACACACACACACACACACACACACACCCCTGAACCCCTCCTCCTGACACACATACTCTCCCCATGGCTGAGCAGCCCCTCCTGAGATCATCCTGTGTTTGGATCCCAACAGAAGGCCAAGCCCTTGATGACCGACTTCTCCGTCAAGTCGACCATCATTTCCCGCTATGCCTTCACCACGGTCATCTGCAAAGTCCTCAATAGGGCATCCGAGGACCAGGAGATGAACTTCCAGATGCAGATCCCTGCCACTGCCTTCATCACCAACTTCACCATGTAGGTCATCCCTGGATCTTGCAGGTGACAGGGATGCATCAAGGAAAACGACAGTGTCCCTCTGCCCCAGTAACTCCACTGCCGAGAAACAGTGAGCGAACAAATGTGTCCACCAAGGAGACGGGGCAGCTTAGCTCAGGGCGGCTGGCAAGCAGGAAGGAGAGGGGGTTGTTCAGTTGAAAGGGCTGGGTCAGAGGGGTCAGCTGTTAGCTGGGATCTGAATGACCTTGGTTACGATAGAATGTGTTTCTTTTTCTGAAAGAGAAGCAAAGTGATGCAGAGTGGCAGGTGGGTGGGTGGGTTTGAGGGAGGTCCGGAGAGCCCCTGCTGGCTGCACTGCCCCTCTCCTTCCCCTGGGCGGTCTCTTGCCACAGGGGAACCCGGGCTGGAATGTGTCCGTTGGCCCCAGCCAGGAACCCCTGCAGAGTTTTCTGGAGTTGTTATGACCCTATGCTTGCCTTTGTCCCTGTGCAGAAGACTGGAGACACACCTGCCCCTTGTGTTTCAGGCTCCTTGGAAACAAGGTGTATCAGGGAGAAATTAAAGAGAAAGGGAAGAAAAGTGATGCAGAGGTCAAAGAGAAAAGGAACAAAACCACAGAAGATAATGGGTAAGTGCAGGTCAATGAAGCATCTGCAGACCCCCTCACCAAAGCGTCCTGTTCTTTCTGCTGCCTCGCACCCATTTTATGTGCTTTCCCCGAGTGTTTATCTCCATTCTATTTTTATTATGACAAAATGTAATTGTGTTTCGGGTTAAGGATATAATAGACAGGGGTTTATGATAAAAAAAAATAAGCCTTGCCCTTCCCATTCTTCTGGCCTTATGCCCCAGAAGCTTCACTTGAAATATTTCTGTTATTATTTTCATAGTTTTCTTTTTAAATAGCGAGAGCCCTGCTTTCTAAGAATGTCTTCTCTGGTGATTCTCCACTGTGCCGAGAATTCAGCATATTCGCAATACTTCCACTATCCTTCTGTGTTCTGGATTTTTATCTTCTTCTTTTCCTACCATTCGAAGCCGTGTTGCATCACCTCAGATTAGCCCAGCAGTCTGAAATGATAATATTTCTTCCTGTTACTTCAACCTAGCTTCCTGCTTCTATTTGCAGCTGTCATCTTTTCTTACCTAACTATAAGCCTTTGCACTGTCAATTAGTAACAAAACTGTAATAATATTACATTGTTTCCCTTATAAATGACTCTAACCCCAGAAGAACAACAAATAGTGTTGACTTTGCAGACTCCTGCATTTGCCTGCGCAGAGGATACATTGATTCTCTTTCCTTCTCCCCTAGCCTATTTGGGGGAAAGTCCAGAGAGGATGCCCGAATGTGCCCTGGTTTGGTTCTTCCTGAAACTATGTAGTTTTGAGAAAACTCATTCTCTAAAAGCATAGACCCTTAGGAACTTTGCTTTTGATATCCTATTAATGAGGGTAGAACATTTGTCTTTGGAAGGTGTGAACTGTGGGTTTACTTTAGTTTTTGCCTGTTTCTTAGGTTTTTATTGGGGGGGGGCACCACCTCTAGCTATGCTCAGGGCTTACTCTGGGCTCTGTGCTCAGGGATCACTCTTTTTTCTTTTTTTTTTTAATTTAATCACCGTGAGATACAGTTACAAAACTTTCATGTTTGAGTTTCAGTCATACAATGATCAAACACCTCTCCCTCCACCAGTGCACATTCTCCACCACATATATCCCTAGTATCTCCCCATTCCATCCCTCCCCCTGCCTCTATGGCAGACACACTTTCTTTCTTACTCTCTCTCTACTCTCTCTACTTTTGGGCATTAAGGTTTGCAATACAGATAATGAGAGACCATCACATTTGGTCTTTTATCTACTTTCAGCACACATCTCCCATCCCGAGCGATCCCTCCAACCATCACTGATTTTGTGACAGGGATCATTCTTGGTGGTGCTCATGGGACCCTCTGAAGTGCTGGGGATTGAACTCAGGTCGCTATGTGCAAGACAAGTGCCTTGCTCACTCTAAGTTTGATCATTGTGTGATTGTAACTCAAACATGAAAGCTTGTAACTTTCTCACGGTGATTCAATAAAATAATAATAAAAAAGATTTCTCCAGCCCCTGTGGGTCCAGCCCCTGTGGGTTCATTTGATACAAAAAAATAACCAAGCCCCCCCCCAATCCTACATCATAATGTTATTAGTCGATTGCCTCGAGCAGGCCCCAGTAACGTCTCTTTCATCCTAGCCCTGAGATTATATTCAAGGCTATTTAGGAGAATGAGACCCATCATTGTTACTGGTATTTGGCATATTTGGTACGCCACGGGGAGTTTGCCAGACTCTGCCCTGAGGGCAGGCTACATTCGATAGCCTGCAAGTTTGTCCAAAATAGGAATGAGACAATAAGATGTCATAAAAAAAAGTTCTGATAAGATGTCGCGCGGCCGCAAATGCGGCCGCGCGGTTCCGGGATCTGGATTATAGTCTCTGAGTCTTGGCCGCTGATGGGATTACACGGCGCCAAGGGGCCAGGTGGTGGGTCACATCATAATGCTTCAGGTATAAAATTGTGAGGTGCAGAAGCCTACCTTTATTCTAATGATTCATTTCTAAGGACATCGGATCCTCGTTGACTTCTCAGGAAAGGCTGATGGAGGTACTGTCCACAGCCTGGCCAACACTATCCATAGCACCACTTGCCACTCCCCTGAGCCTGTCCGACCCTCATGTCTTTGGTTGTGAAGAACCTGGGGTACATCACACCCTATACCGATAGGTGGCTAAAATATTATTTTATTGGGCTTCTTGGTGGGTCCCAAGTAGTCTTTATAGATTTTTTTTACCCCTGGATTTTATTTTCCTAATCTTTCATAATTTGTTCACATTGAAGCCATGCCTTTGTTTAGTTGCATCACGATATATAAATTCTGTTCCCACTGGAGGGTGTGGTTGTCCTGCTTACTTCTTGCCAGGTAAACACTGATTCTTGTCCTTGTTGCGTTTCGTGGGACTCAGATCCCACTTGAACGGGTGACAATGGGGTGCTCATTTCTACAGCTACTGATGACAGGCCATGGTAGGAGTCATTAAAGCTATCCTGGCCGACATGTGGTCCCTGTGGAGAGTGGGACGCTTCCATGGCTCTGCACGATGTTCCCACCGAGACACTGTGTTCCCAGGGCTGAGCCCACACCTTCTTTATAGTCCGAACCTTCCTCTCTCATGACTCTGGCCTTCTCTTTGCTGCCGGATACTCTGCAGTGGCTTTCTGAGAGTGGGCGGTGGCAGGCAGACTCCCTGACTCCCTGGTGAGGGTATGAGTGTGTGGAGAAGAGCTGCAGCAGCGTCCACTCTTGGAGACACATGCTCTGCTGTCCTACATCCAGGACTGTGATGGTGCTGGACGTTGCCTGACGTCCTCCCTCTGCCTATTTTCTCTGCCTTCCATCTCGAAATTGACCACAGTGGATCTGGGTGCCCTCAGTGGGTCTTGGTTAATCCTCGTGCTCTCTCCCGCTGTCCACCCTCGATGTCACGGACCCATACACCTCAGCCCCCTCTCCCTGCTCCCTGTGGTAGTCCCCCACCCTCCTCACGCCCATCTGAGCCCCCCCCCGCCTGACGCCCTCTGGATGGGTGCTCCTTCCCCCGTTGCTCTGTAGGACACCCCCCCCCCCCCCCCGGGTCTCCCTGAGGCCCTAGAGATGCCCTGCGTGCTCAGCCCGTCCCAGGGTCCTGATGGAAAGGACTCGACTCCCGGGAGTGCTCAGGTCTTCACGCCACCTCTAGCTCGGTCACTTCTCCCCATTGCCAGAGTCCATCCCTAGGATGCCCGGCCTCTCTCTTGGCGAGCATCACCAGCCCAAGGGACTCCCCCTGGCGCACGCGCCCACCCACCCGGTCTCTCTTCTCTCTTCCTCCAGGGAGAAGGGAACCGAGTCATTCCGAGTGTCCGTGGTGGTGCCCAGCAAGGACCAGGTGTCACTGCAGCTCAGCTACGAGGAGCTCCTGCAGCGGCGGCTGGGGAAGTACCAGCACGTGGTCAGCGTGCGGCCTCAGCAGCTAGTGGGGCGGCTTACGGTGGAGGTGAACGTTCTGGAACAGTCGGGCCTTGTGGCGCTGGAGGTGCTGGGGCTCCAAAACAGCCGGCAGAAGGGCAGCGGGCGAACGGACAGTGAGTGGGGCCGGGGAGGGGGGTTGGGGGGGGTGGTCATGGCACCTTCTGGGAATTGGGGCAGCGGGAGGCTGATCTCCAAAAGGTGGAGTGCGGTGTCAGGCGGTAGTCGGAGAACCGCGTCATGCATCATGAGGGCAGAAGTAAAAACTCATTTATGGAGATGCTCCCGGGTCTTGTTGGTGTGACCCAGGGGCCTACAGGTCAGGCTGGAAATTCCCATAGCCTGACAGTGGTCACAGACGGCGGATTGTCGAGGGTGGCACCTGGCAGGTCCCCTAGGTCCCCTAGGGTCCCCTGGTCTCTCGCAGGCCAGGGTTGCTTCTGTGTGGACTCGGGTCTGCACCCCCTGCTGACGTGGCCCAATGATGAGTCTGACCTTGGATCCAGAAGCAGCAAAGTCCAGGGGTGTGAGGTGCTGGGCAGTTAGTGTTCCCGCTCAGCCAGATGATGAGCAAACCCCCTTTGCCTGGGTCCCGGAGCCTGGATATCCCACGCTCCCTGCTCCCTGGGGTCCTCGTGCCTCTCTGTCACCTGTACCCCTTCTTCACATTCAACATGTCCGAACAAATATAGGGCCGCTCTCTCTCTTTTTTTGGGGGGGGTCGGTCACACCTGGCAATGTTCAGGGGTCACTCCTGGCTCTGTACTCAGGAATCATTCCTGGTGGTGCTCAGGGGACCATATGAGATTCTGGGAATCGAACCCAGGTCGGCCGCGTGCAAGGCAAACACCCTACCTACTGTGCTATTATTCCAGCTCCATAGGACCGCACTCTTAAATGCATCTGGATGTTTCCTTATTCTGTCCCTGCTGTTCTTCCTTCTGGCGTGTTGCCTTCAAGGTCACGCCTCACGCCTCGGGAAGGGTTGGTGGCTAGTTGTCTGCAAATTAGGAAAGCAGCAGTGCCTCTGAGCTCGCATTGTTTCATGCGTGGCTGTCGTGGGGGGCGGCAGAGCGAGTTATGGGCAGGGGAAGGGAGTGCGGAAGCTCCCGGATGCTCTCTGGACTGAGATGTTTTGAGGGGACGTGGGTGGGTGGTGAGTCCCAAGGCGAGGCAGGGGGAGCTCTTTACTGTGCATAGATTCAGGGCTTGGCTGACCCGCAGAGGAGTGTTGCCATGCCATTGATCTCTTGGGAACTCTTGTTTTCTCTCGAGAAAAATCGTTCTCCAAGCTCGTTCATTGCTGGAGATCAGAGAGCAGCCTCCCTGAGCATGGAGGTGCCACAGAGAAAGAATCTTCTGGAACCGGGGGCAGCGGCCCCCACCTCAGCTTCGTTCTGTCCTCAGCATGGGCATGCATGTGTTTGCCCAAGACCGGGAGTTTCCCGCAGAACCCCGACGGCTGGCCCGTTTGCCGCTCTGTGAGCTGGCGCTGTGCGTCTGGCCTCCAGCCAGAGCATTCCAGGAGAGATCTGGCTGGGGTAAGAAATCAGAGCTCTGGAATCTCTCTAAGCCGGTCTCTGGGCCCCGGGGCTGTTCTGGAGCTGCAGATCCTGATAAGGAAGGAGGCTGGGAGCAGTGAGGACCCCGCCTGCGCCTCCCCCCAGGCTGTCCCTCACCTGAATTCAGGAGCCAAGGGCAGCCGAGGCGCAGTGAGTGGGACAGAGCGAGCAGATTCCCATTCACTTTTGCCACAGGAGAGCATGGCATTGGCAGGGTGGGTTTCGTGGGTCTCTCCCTCGTGATATAGGAAGCTGAAAAAAAGAGCTTAGCCCCACATCTGCCTCAGTTTACTCGCTGCTGTGGGTGCAGCATCTGGGTGGCTTCTGGCCAGGTTAGGGCAGTCTCCACTTGGAAAGGGGGGGCTCTGCTATCTGTGCGGTTCACTCAGCTGCCTCCCTTGGGGGCTCAGGACCACGAAGTGCAAGCCCCTATACTTCAGGATGTCAGCTCTGATGGAAATTCAGGCTCTTTGGACCAACACTGAGATTGTCTGAAGGCAGAAGATGAAAGCTCTCCCTCCGCCTGGGTTTGGGGTGATGGACACTCCCAACCCTCTCATTCTCTCTAAAACCTTCACCGCCAGAATTAATTCCCTTTCTACAATTCTGGGGTTTTATTGGAGAAGAAAACATGGGAACATGGGGTTTGGCCGATGTCCCCATGTTCGGGGATCACTCCTGGAAGGACTTGGGGGGCCCTACTCGAACGTGGTGGTCAGACCAGGGTCCACAGCTCGCAAGGCAAGTGTTGCCCTCTTTCTGCAGCCCTGTGGCAGATTTCTGTTTCTGGTGAGCTCCCTGGAGCCTGGAAGCAAAATGACATCAGCCAAGCCAGGAGTAGGGCACCTGCCCTTGGCCTGGTCACTCTGCACCAGTCCCTCTGCTGCTGGACAGCTGCCTGCAGTGACCCGAGAAAAGGCTGACGCCACCCCCTGCCACACCCAGGGAGAGCTGGATTCCTGGGCCAGTTTCATAAGGAACCGAAAATACCCGAGTGCTTTTAGCATGCTTATTTGTAGCTTTGAGAAATGATGTTCTTGCTTCTACCCAAACAGTTTTGACTGTGATTTTTACAGTTTACCCCCTCGTTGATCCTTTGTTTAAAAAAAAAAAAAAAGAAATCCTATTGAAGTTTATTTGGCCGAATGGAAGACGGACTCATTTAACGCAATTTTTTTTGGTAGTGTATTTATGTTTTGTGCAACTGATCAAAATTCCACTTTAGAACATTTCTGCCACCCTGAAGGGACCAGAGATTTCTTGGACTCCCTGGCGGTACCCCCCGCCCCCCGCCCCACCCTGGCCCTGGGCACCCATTGACCCACCCCCTGCAGATGCCAGAGATCAGCCCCACCAGCTGTGGCTTAAGGAGGTCCCAGGAGGTCCCTGGGCGCCAGCCAGGCCAGGAGCCCCTGGTCCTAGGAGGATCTGGGGTGCTGACCATGTCCTGTGACCTCCAGGAACCTCCCTGGAGGGAAATCAGCGGATTCCTTTGATCCCTGGGGGCCTGGAGCCCACGCTGGCTTTTGATCCCAGTTAAAAATATGCGCGTCCACATCTCCCCCTGGAAACAGGCCATGGGGCGTGACTCACCGTGGTGGGAAAGAAACTCTCCTGCCTCTCTCTGCTTCCCCATGTCCAGCCCCGCAGCGGGGGGGTTGGGGGGAGGTAAGGGTGGGGCTGAAGGAGCAGCCCCTGCTGCAGGAGAGGGGCTCCCGGCTCCTCAAACCCGTGGGTGCATTCCGGCAGTTGCCCGCCCCCTGCCTCTGTGCCCCGCACTGTCCGCTGTGTCCACTCTGCCCTCTTCCTGGACCAGGGAAGGACCAGTTAGACCCCCACCTGGGGCTTGCTCCCTCCATGGCGTCTCCTCAGGAAGCCCCCCAGGGCCTTCATCAGCCCAGACTCCCTCCCGCAGCTTCTGCAGAGAGCCGCTGGGGACCCCCAGCAGCCGTGAGGAACCCCCTCCCGTTGCCGAGCCTGGTGCTCCTGAGGACCGCGGCCCCCCAGCCCGAGGCCCTCAGAGTGCGATGTCCAGAAGCAGGACTTCTCAAACTGTGGCCACTTGAGACCCCTTTTTGCCCGAGAGTTCGTCAGTGCACCGTGTGTGGGCATAGAGTGGGCATGTACACAGATAAGTATAATTAATGATAAAGAACTCGATTTCAAGACACACTCAGTGACGTGAAGCCCAGTGGTGCTCTGGGCTGACCCGTGGCCTGGAGTCTTCTGTTTTCTCTGCTTCGTCCGTGTCCCACCCAGCTGTCCGTGGAGTCGAGTTCTCTGCTGGCTGTTTCCCAGTTATCTCAAGGACTGCCTGCTGTGGAGTGACCGGTCCCCCACGCACTGTCCGTGTTGAGAATCCCGCAGTGTGTGCATGCCCGTGTGTTTCACTGGCTTGTTTCCACATCGTGGTGGGGATTCCGATGGCTGAGGGGGCTGGAACACAGTCTGTAAAGCGGATCTCTCCCTTTGCCTGGGGCCCAGGCTGAGTGTCAGAGGCCCTGGAAGGCAGGGAGTCCATTCCAGCGTTGGTGTGTCTGTCCCGCTGCCCAGACAGACCTGCCGCCTGGGAAATCCCCCTCTCTGTCGGGGCTGTCCACAGCCTGTAGCCATGCTGGAGGCTGCATGGTCACGGCGTTGCGCCTGGCCCCGGTCCCGTGCCAGCAGCTCTGTGTTTGTCCTTGAGCCTGTGTCCCCGCAGCTGGAAGGCCTGGCCCTGCTTGGCCTCTGTCCGCTCGCCGGGAAACTGGGGTGAGGATTCCCAGCCGTGTCCGCTGCGTTCCTGAGTCCTGAGTCACTTGGCTCCAGGCTTGGCTTTGTTTTGAATGTGTATGTGAGAACCCAGGTCAGGCCAGTCTGTCACAGTCCCTGAGGCCAGGTGTAAGAGCAGGGGTCTCAGGCCACCTGAGCAGGTGGGCTTCTCTCTCCCACTTGACTTTGGGGGGCAGCCACGGAGTCTGGGGACTGTCCCAGGGAGATGCCCTTTTCCTAGCATCCACTTTTGGCAGGTGACGGGAATTTCTGGGTCTTCCTGCAGCTGGGGCTGAAGGCAGGGGGATGGTCCTTCCCAGCATCCTTCCAGAGGAAATACTAAGTGGACAGCTCTGTCCTTTAGCCCGCTGGGGGCTTGCCGTATGGCATTGTCTCCATGCTGAGCACTGACCGGTGTGCTCTGTCCTCACTCCACCCTGGAACTGAGGCCCCACCAGTGGCCCCAGACCCTTTAGGAGTTTGCCAGTAAAGACATGACAGCCAATGGGCCATCCGACTGTGGGTAAGGCTGCCGCCTGTGGGGTTGACCAGTTGGCCCACCAACCTCTCAGCTTGTTCTCTTATCCCAGACAGAAATTCTAGCCGACAGCTCTTCCCAGATGTCCCCCCACCACTGGGCCCTTCAATTCTGTCAAAGAACCTGAGTGTTTCCCAAAACTGATGGCACCACCAGCACTGAGGGTCTACAGCCCATAGTGGTGGCACTTTCTGCTGCTTGTAGGTTTGAGTAAGGAAATAGATTTCGGGGGGGGGAGGACATGGGGGGATTTTGTTCTCTGTGA